GCTACTGTGGTTTGATCTTCACAGGAGCGTGTGGGGGGGGGCGGGGGGGGCGTGTGGGGCGCGTGGGGGGGGGTGGGGGGGGGGGGGGGGGGGGGGGGGGGGGGGTAGAACTTGAGACCCGCAGCCGCAGATAGATTCATGTTGCACTTACCCGAGTGCGAGTCGTCCATGACGCGGGCCCCCGTCTCGCTGGAGAGCGACAGCTGAAGGCCGTGGTTGCGCCCGAACGTCTCCACCGCCCGCTTGAGGAACTTGTAGATGAGCGTCAGCTCGCTGTCACCTGGCGGATGGGTGGGGGAGAAGCGTGAGCGTAATTGGCAGTGAGTGAAAAATGCTTATCAATTGTTTATTGTGTGCACCCGCAACAGGGCACCAGCAGAGCAGCAATAAATTCCAGAAATTAATTAACTCTCGCCATAAACATCCGCAACGGATAATCGATCCAGCACGGGGCAGCTGCCAGAGGAATGCTGTGGATGCTGGCCGCCACTGGAAGTGGATGTTGTCTGGGCCATAAAGCGATCAATTCAACTGCAACACACCGCACGGCACACAGTTGTTGGAGTATTTCGGTCTTAGGCGTTAATTTCCTTTTTGCCAACTGACCGCGGGGGAAACAACTTTCGTTTCGGACAACGGACAACGGACAACGGACATCGGAAAACGGTTTAGGGATCAGCACGGACCCACCTTCCAAGCTCTTGGCATCGTTGAACACCACAATGTCGTCGGCCGGCTCCCCCAGCTGGACCAGCCGCAGGAGTCGATGCTTATCCGCTGCCAAGTCCCGTCCATATTCGTTGGGGAAAAAGCCCATGCCGTTGGTGGCCAGTTTCCAGATCAGCTTCGAGGCCTTGTACTTGATGCAGGACATCAGATTGCGAGTGTCGAAGCACTGCCGCTGGTTGCGCGCTATGTAGGCATCGTTGTGCGACAGCAGCGAGCCACCCGCTCGGCCGGCGGATCGTTGGATGGCGGGCGTGGGCGGTGCATCTGTGGCCTGCGTCTCCTCTGCGCTGCCATAGTGGAGCAGTAGGAGCAGCATCAGTGCTAGCGCGATGCGACAGAGTAGCATTTTGGTTGCCGATTGGATGAAGTCTGGGGCACCGCACGGCTGACTGGACGAGACACAAATAGCAGCCAGAAGGCGCTGGCTACTCCTTTTATCACAGCGAGGCAGCCAGCCGCAGCCGCAGCCGCAGCAGCAACAGCCAACCGAGGCTCCGTCCGAAGATAGCTGCTTGGCAAGTTGCAGCTCGGCTCGTCTAATGCTCATGTGCATGCAGCAGGCAGCAGGCAGCATGCAACGGAATCGCAATTCCTGCCACCGAGTGTTGACTGCAATGCCAATGCCAATGCCACCGAGCTTTCTGGGTCAGAGTCGGAGTGCGGGGCATGTCTTGTGGCGATCCGCGATCGAACAGCAAATTGGATCGATCGCATTGTCGTCTGGATTATGAACCACCAATTGACCGCCTTCCCGCTGCGCTGCGTGTGACTGAAAGCAAGAGCCGCAAACGAAAGTGAATCGGCAAGTAGCTGCCGTACTCCGAGTATGTGCTTCGCTGTTACTCATACAATTAAAGTTGCCTGGCGCCACTCAAGACTCTGCTGAGCTGCTCTGAGCTGCTCTGAGCTGAGCGACGAGTCCCAATCCAAATCAGAGCCATCCGAGCTGGAGGCTGGTGCCCCTCCCCTCCTCGGGGGGGCGCCTTGGCAAAATGATACCAATCGGAATAAGTGCGAATGCGCATTTATGTGAGATTAAACTGCGCCTTTTGTGGGTAGTAGTTCTCCGGTTGCATCTGGCAATTTGCATATTTGAGTGGAACACTGCACTTTGAATTGCTGGCCGTTATTAAATTTTATTTGCGTGTGCGACTGTGTGCGAATGCTCTGACCATCTTAATTACAAAGCCACAGACATGGGATGCGAAAGTTGTTGGTGTTGTTGCTGCTGCAGTTGCTCTTGTTGCATTATTCACCAGTGAAAGTAACAATTGTTGACTCTTTTTTGCTGCCTGCTACAGCGACAACGCTCGGCATTCTTTGTCCAGCGTTGACATTCAATTAATTAGCTGCGCCACCTGTCGCCTATTGGCTGCACTCGCAGAATACAGCATAATGAGAATTAGGTAACCCGCGCGAATCATTGTGGTGCAAGAATCTGCTCTGGTTTGTTGTAGAAAGTTTTTTGGTTTTCCTTGATCGAAAACTGCTCTGAACATTGTCTTTAAGCAAGCCGCAAAATATTTGACCACAACATGGCACACAATGTTGGTCTGCCCCGCAGCCATCAGCCTCCGTTTGATGGCCACATATTAAATCCCGAAGCACACGCAAACGTGAGGCTATTTAGAGGATTTCGGAGTCCGCCCAAAACTACTTTTACTAGAAATTAGCTGCGAAAGCAACTGACTGAATGTCCCGTCCCAGCTGAAACGCCAACAACTTGCTAAACCAATTAAGCAAATTGAACTAAGGAGGATGGAGGATGGGTATAGAGATGAGGATGAGGAGGCTCCTATCCGCTCTGATCTTTGTTGGGCTGCTGTGGCAGGCGGCCGGATGGGATAAATACTGTCATGTCGCCACCGGCTAACGATTGTTGGCCACCAGACAGACCCGGGTCATAAAAACTCTCTTACAGATAGCGAAATTTCCGTCCAGCTGCAGGCGTCTAAGTGTATTTTAATGCAGAAAATGCATTTAAGAGTTCAGGACAACTCCGCAAAAATATGTATATGCTGTATTATCTGAACATTTCACTTTCGATGTTAAAACTCGTTAATGGGATCTGTCTGCTGGGAAGGCCGTGTTTGTGCGTTTCAATGGCTTTCTGGCTCTGCCTCCGGCTCCATCTCAGGCGACATTGACCATCCTGTCAGGTGTAATCTATCAGATACGAATCCAATTAGGGTTCTCAATGGAAAGTCTAAAACGGCGCCTCACCCAATTGCCACGCTCACAATGCGGTTCGATTCAATCAACTTTGATTGCAGTGATAAAATCCACAAACAATAAGCGTTTCCACAAAACAAAAACACGCCTTGATAGTCGTTGATTATACGCTAATATCCTCTTCCGCTTATTTTGAATGGCGCCGCAGTTGTTTGCATGTTAGAAACTCAATAAATTCATTTGAAGCATTCATACGTGAAAACTTGGAGGCCTTGGGTAGAGAATTTTCTTTCTTGACTCTAGTAATGCAAAATCTGCAATGAAATGCTTAAAAAGATTTGGTTTAAGCACGATTACACGATTTCGCTGTCATTTCCCATTTTCTATGGTCGGTGGTATCTGGGTAAATTTGAATATCGATTAATATGGGAAACCAAATCGAATATTTTGCTTCTCATTCTGACAAAAGGTTGTCGCCACGAGACTTGGGTTGACGCTATTCCGCCATCTAGTGCTGGGAAGTAGAACTACAAAATCGAGAGGCTCCACCTAGCAATCGATTTGGTTGCAAGAAAGAAATCTGTCTCACCAATAGGTGACGCCAACGAGAGTTCTTGTCGCCATCTATGTTTGTGCTACTATGAGTCTACAAAAGCTGTATGATATGAAACTGTGAAAGCAATGCTTGATATTAAAACTTGATAGAAAATTCAGATGCGAAAGCATCGAACCTAGGTAGGTGTCACAGATACAGACAATGACTGCACTTTGGACCCCACAAAAGCACGTTTTGAAAATATTATTAAATGGTAAATTATAATTGTATTCAACAGACTTAAACAACAACCTAACTTAAGGCGACAGTTTTAACAATGAATGAAACGCTTAAATGAAAACATTTTGATTTGTTCGGGCTCGTAACAAGCGCATAATCAACGAGTTCTTATCGAGACCATAGATGGAGGTTTGACCACTTGACTCGGCCAGCGGCTCCTCCGCCGTGTAATCACTGCTCTGGGTGGTCGTTGACGACTCACTTGAGGCTTCCGGTGATGTTCCTGCTTCTGTGCTGGACAGATCTGCAGCTATTGTGGCTGAGGATGTGCCATCATCTGCGATGATGGAGACAGCAGTAGTAGCAGAAGTCACTGCCACGCCTGCTGTAGTCGTTTCTTCCCATGCCTCTGAGGAGGTGGACATCGTCGCAGGTTCAACTGTTGTGGCGACAGTGGTGGAAGGGGGCGTGGCAGTCGTGCTCTCAATAGGCTCTGGCGTCGCTGTGGTGCTGGTTGTGGCTGGAGCGGTGGTCAGCATAAGTTGCGCTTGTAGATCGACATCTTCGTAGAGATTTGCCGCGTTGCCAATATCCAAATTGAGTAGTTCCGCCGAGGCATTGCTCAGAGTGGGGGGCATCGGCGACGTTGTTGTTGTGCTGCTGGTCGTTGCTCCAAGCGCATCTGACTGGGCCGAAGATTCTATCGGCTTAGCCCAGTAATAGAGCGGATATTTTTCGCTGTGCGCCTTCTTGAAGGTCGCTGGCTTTTTGCTGAAGCTGAAGTAACCCTTGACATTGTCGAGTGTCTGTCGCACGAGCCAATTGTCATTTGTAGACCAAAGACTGGCTTCGGACTCGTCTTCAATGGATCGCTCGATGGGGCCAAAGCCGGCCGTGGCTAGCTCTATTTTACGAATTTTGCGATTGTTGTATTCCTGGCTGATGGCTGCTGGCGTTGGCCTGAAGGTTTTCCTGAACTGCTGGCGCGGCTTGTATGGGTTTATTGGTGCCCTGGTTGTGGGTTGGCTGGCCAGCGGCTTTCCTGTGGTGGTGATGTACAGTCGCCTATTGCTGGCATACAGCATACGGGGAATCAGAGGCCCTTGCTGAGCCGCCTTGGGCTTCATTGTGCCCCTGGCCTTTGCACACGCTCCTTTGTGGATGATCTTCCAGACTGCAAGAAAATTGCGTTACTTCCTTGTGGCTGGCTGTTTCCAGAACCAGTTCTCCACTTACCAGTTCTGGGATCCTTGCAACGCACTCGCTCCAGATAGCACTCATTGATGACTGTGTGGTCCGTGCCATTGCGACTGGCACACACTGGCTGATAGACCGAAGGGCAGGGCTTGTCGCAGCGTCGGCAGGGGCCATCGTGCACAATGGACCATGCTGTGGATCGTGAAATGAGTAAAGTCCTGCCAGAAATGCCCATGCCAGAGTGCCTTACCGTTGCCGATGCTTTGGCTGTACTCCATGAGGGCACAGACACTCGGGAATGTGCGTCTCTCTCCGTTGAAGCTGCCACACACAGGCTCGTTGCTGAACACACACGGCCTTGTAGAGCTTTTGGCAGCAATGCCAATGCCTGCTTTGCTGGTGGCACTCCCGTACACTCGTCGGAGCTTGGGCGCGGACACCACATAGGGCTTGCGAGCCGGCAGGGAGTAGCTCTTCTCCATGGTGCCTGTGTTGCTGATAAACTGGGTGTGGAATGTGGAGGGGGCATAGATTTGCACTGCGTCCTCGGGTATCTGGAAGTCTTCCACCTGATTGGACTTCTTACTGTGACTGCGCTTGGCCCGATCCGGCTCCGACTCCGCCTCCAGCTTTGGCTTGGCCCTTGGCTTGTATTTGCGATTGTGCTTCATTTTGGTGCTGTCCTCGCCGCAAAGTCCCTCGGAAACTATGCGCCAATCTGTTGGACATGAAAGCATAAGTGACTGTAACCGGAAAATGGCACACAACAGGCAACCCACTTCTCTGTGTCTTAATGTTCTCTGCATTCACCAGGCACTCATTCGAAAATGTAGACTTTACGCCCGCATATGCAGCGCACACGGGACGATAGATCCTGGTGCAGGGCACTGGCTGTGGCCGCTTGTACTTGCCCACGTTGCCCACGTTGCCCACGTGAGCTGATGTCTGCTCCCTGCTGGCCTTGGGACACACACCCCACCTGTGCACCGCCCAATCGGACTGCGACAGGCACGAGGTGCGTGCCATTTCACACCGACTCCTAAAGGTGCGTCTCTCCCCGCTGCTCGCACTCACCCCGCACGCTGGCTGATATCCATTGCTGCACTGGAAGTCACAATTGGGGAAGCAGTGCCGCAGCGTCACATCATCTGAAGGAAGGAGAATACAATTATGACCCATAGGTGGCGTTAGGTGGCGGGTTAGCTGTGTTGGGGGGTTCAACTCACACAAGGGCGCACCCATGAGGTTGCCTCGCTGCGCCTTCCGCAGCTCACACTCGTTGCTGAACAGGAAGTACATGCCGTTGTCGCGACTTCTCGCACACATGGGAATGTCATCGTTGTAGCATGATCCCCGAGCCAAGCCATTGATCGTGCGAGCGGAAGCTGCCGCCAAAACAGATAATCCCAAACAGAACAGCAGTTGCCTTCCAGCCATGTTCCTCTGCAGCTGAATCTTTGAGACTCAATACAATCTGAGATGCATCTCGGCCTTATATATGTCAGCGATGTCACGCGCTGCAATCAGACATGCGGCATGGAGCCACAGACCAGCTGATAATATCGAAGCAGCAGCCCAAAATTCTGCAGACATCAAATATCGCGATAAACACGCTCGGCGCTCGGTCTGCCGCTCATGACATCGGAATTCTGTGAAATTGTCAGTGCGCCCCCCGATAGATTCTTCGATTGCTCTCGCTCTGCTGATAACGGCTTCCCCTTCGAGTTTCGTCAATTAGATGCAACTCTTTATTGTGGCTTCGATTTCAACTGCGCCGCGCCGCTCCGCTTGGCTCTGCTCTGCTCTGCTCGATGATACGTGATATTCGGTTGATTTCGGCAAAAGCCACCAGATAAGCCCCAGCCAGCCAAACTTGGCATTTGCATTGATTGTGCGGTTATCGCTGTTGCCGCTTCTGCTGAAAAGTTCTGCCAAAACTTTATAGTTGGTATATTTTCCGCAGTGCTCTCTGAGCTGATAATGGGATAAGCCGCGCGACACCCACCCCAGGGCAACTTTTACGTACAATAAGTTCTTTGTTGGCCATAGAATGTTTGTCACCTTTCAGCGACTGTTGCATGAATCAACTTTGGCTCTCGTTGCGTTCAAATGAAACGTTTTATTGTGATTAAATCTAGTGTACCATTGGGAGATGTTTTCACTATGTGTGTGCATTGATCATCAGCTGGCCAAAGTACTCCATTGAATCCCTAACCTTGCTCATCACAAATCAAAGTCCTTATTTGGCTTTGCCAAGTTCCATCAAGAGAGTTGAAATAGTTATTTTATTAGCAGTTGGCACACAGAGAAAAACACTTCTGGCAGCTCTGCTAATTTGTGTTCTTACGGTTCTTACGGACACCCCATGGATAATCTGGCCAAATGATCGGGTACGTTTGTCAGTTGCCGCAGTTCCCCCCGGGGCTGGCTCAATCGGCATAACGTCACAGTCACGCGCAGGCGACATGCTGCTGCCCATACGTACCCCCCCTGCCCGCTTTGCCTTTGTAGGCCAATTGGTAATTTCGCGAAGCGGCCAGAAACTTGTTCTTCTTCGCCGCTAATGACAAACAATTTGGAAATAGAAATAGCAACAGAAAAAAGCGGGCGCTAAAATTACAAAATGTAATAACGCGCGGCAAATGCAATCGAGTGAAAGAAAAGAAGCGAAAGAAAGCATCAAAGCTTGGGAGAGAGAGATAGAGCGAGAGAGAGAGACAGAGAGAGTATGCGCTGAATGCGGCTGGAGAAATGGTGCAAAAAGAGAGAGAGAGAGAGCGAAACACTGCAAGAGAGTGAGCGTCTTGGCAGGTGCTCACGATCGTAGCTCCAATCTGGCTGCTCCGTTGGAGCTGCAAGAAAAACTTTGGCCAGTCTAACGACAAGAGCTGAAGCATAAAGACATGCGACGTCGGGTGCAACGTCCGTTAAAGTCAGTTACAGAGTCAGAGTCAGAGTCAGAGTCATTGAACGCAAATAAATAATCAAAGCCGCCAACTTAGACCAGAAGTCTCCCCATCCAATTCAGACTGCAAAAGGCAGCCGCGTGTTACACAGTGCCCCTTCCGTCCGAGTCCGAATACATAATCATGGTGGTCGCCACGCCCCCCAGCACCACAGCAGGCAACAGCAATGGCAATGGCAATGGCAATGGCAATGGCAGCGCCAGCAATCCGGGCAACTGCTACATGGATCAGTACCAGAAGTATGCCACGCACTGCGAGCGAGCGGACAGCGGCAACGGCAGCGATCTGGAGAGCAACGGCATTCCGGCCAAGCCAGCCTCACTGCTCACCGACGACAGCGAGGAGAGTGGCCCCTCCTCCCTGGGCAGTGACTCCCTGCACTGCAGCAGCACGGAGTATGTGCGCCAGGCGGCCTCCCAGCCCAGTGGCCAGCTGCAGGTGCAGCGGCAGCGCCAGAAGTCGATACGCATGCTGGGCTCCCTGGGCTCGCTGCTGCCAGACTCCCTGCTGCGGGACATACGGGATAGACGCAATGCGGAGGAGTATGTGGTCCAGTACACGGGACACGTCGATACTGAGACCGAGGCAGACACTGAGGCTGAACCCGGGGCTGAGGTCAAGGACAAGCCAATGCCAGCGGGCAAAAAGTCGTTGCGCCTGTCTCGGGAGTCGCTCAGCGAGGAGAAAATCGAGGAGCTGCGTGCGGCCGTGGAGAGAGCCAACTTTGTGCAAACCGGTGAGGAGTCGTTGGACAGCATTGAGGCCGCCTCGCAATCTCTGCCAGTGAGCAGCCACACCAGGGGCAGCAGCAACAACTACAAATATGCAGACGACCAATACTACAGCTTTCACATTAACGAGCACGAGAACTTTAGCAGCTTCGCGCGTCACGGCGACGAGGCGTCCATGGCCATGGCCGCGAGCCTAACGGAACAGCAAGATCTCTTCGCGGGCTACCGGGATGTGCGCTGCAGCAGCAGCTCCACCCAGTCCACCATACGCTCGGCCAAGGGAACGGTGCGAGGCGTCAAGAATCGTGTGCGCAATGGAATAGCCACGTTCTTGCAGCTCCAACAGCAGCCCAATGCCAAGGTGAGTCGAGGTCGAATCACACACGTTGAATATGTTTATGAATATGCAGGGAATCGAGCAGACATTCGAGTTGGTATTCAGTTATTCAGTTCCCACGGTGTCGGCGTCAACAGTCTGCATGATTGCCCACCCCATTGAGTCATCTGCCAGGCACGGGCACGGGCACGGGCCCACCCAAATTATGCAATCCCTCGATGCTGATTGTTTGCCATCTCCCATTCCATCCACCATCCCATGTGCACGCCTCTCAGAGAAAGTGCTATCCAACAATTGAAGATGCCGTTGCCGTTGCCCATACCAATGTGTGGACTCGGAGCTGCTTTTCAATATCTTTCACATTTCGTATTGGCGTCTCACAACTCGCTCCGTTTTACCCGTAATCTAATGAGCAACTGTAGGAGCAACTACACATCCCCTCCCCTATCCTCTCTCTCTCTGCCTCCCTACCTGCCAGCACACACGAGCTGCGCTTTCAACGTCTCTTTTTGCTCAGTTTCTTCTTCAATTATAATGAATACCGTTAAGTGGCTTATTTTGCGCTGTGCTCTGCTCTGCTCTGCTGTCGTTTGTCGTTGCTGTTGTTGTTGTCTTTGCTTGGTGTCTTTGCCGTTGTCTTTGTCGTTTTGTATGCGCTTAGCGCGCGTTTACAACTTGCTCAGCTCAGCGCTCTCGGCTTATTCCAGATCTCGGTCTGCCCCCACCCCACCACACAGCTACACGAGGTTCAACTTTTACGTTTTCAAAACGCATCTCGCTGCTCTTTCCCAGAGGTTCGTGAAGTTTTGGGGGGTGCGTTGGACTCACCAACTAATCGCAGCTAATGGTGGAGCAGCTTGGGCGGCTAAAACAACAGCTAGACCAACGGTGCTGAATGGAATTGTCATCGTAAAAGTGGAACTTTTATTAGTTTCTCTCTGTCTCAATCTGAGGCGTGTTCTGGGAACTAGTTTTGCATAAAACATTCATTAATTGCTGATGAAGAAATCGTTTGATATATCACAAATATCCAAGATTAAAGTTTATTCTCGCGAAGAGCTTTCTCGATATTTGGGTATTTCCCCTCGCTGAACGCTGCAGCTGTAAATCGTTTGGATTAGCAGTTTTCCGCCCGCTTACGCAGTTTTCCCCCCACAAAATAATTCCCATTATCAGCCATGACTCGCATAGAAATCTTTTCTGGTTCATAAATACATTTTTCGGCTTGAAATTGTATTTTCGGTTTTTTATGCTTTTTAATTTTTATTAGTCGCTGGCTGGCTGCCTCCCTGGAAGGCTGCTCTCACAAAGCGACTTAGAAATTTCCCTTTATCTAATTTAATGAACAGATTTTAGATCATTTTAATTGTTTTGTTTGTGGCTGTGGCTGTGGCTGCTTTCTTGCTTTTCACTTTCTGAGCCATGGAGCAAAACTTGATGAAATGACGGAATGTCGGTTGGCCCGGACCGCCCCTTCGACCGACACAACAACGGATTGGCATAAATTAAGTAGATGCTAAATGAATAGATATGTTTTATGGCCCTATAGCGGCTCACATGCAAATTAGCCAGCAAGTCAGACAGTCAGACACTCTGCTGTAGGGTAGGAGGAACCACATTCAGAGACCAACAATGGGAAAAGTGAGATGCTGTTAATTATAATGCAGCTGGCATTCCATTCCATTCCATTCCAGCTTCCAATCCATTCCACTGTCAAAAATCGAAAGTGAAAATCCAACTTGGCATTGTTTTTTCTTTGGTTTCTTGTTCGTGGCCGATTGTTTGAGGCCCTTCGGCGCCTGTAGCCCATAATTGGAGCAATCGACAGTGAATTTTTGATGGCTACAAATTGGAGGTGTTTGCCACACACAAACACACACACACACACACACACAGACACAGTAAAAAAACCGACAACTCACTTTGTCACCTTCGAGAAGCATCAGCAGCAGCAGCAGCAGCAACAACAACAGCCTCATGGGTTGGAGGCATCATTGGCATTAGCCTCCATCTCGATGTGTGTTGCTCAACTCTTCGATTGGCAATCACTCGCCGGCTGGCTGCTGCTGCTGCTGCTGCTGCTGCTGCTGGCTATTGGCCATACAAGTGACCTGCTTTCTCTTTTGTCCATTAATATGTAGCAGAGCTCAGCGGAATTGTGGCGGCTGCTGCTACTTCTGAGGCGACTGCAGCTCGACAAAAGGTTAGACGTGCAAATCACGTGTGGTAATTGTTAATTGTTTGTTTTTGGCAATTCAAATGACAGACTAAAGTTGACATTGAACCAGTGTCTATGGGCTGGGAGCTGAGAGCTGAGAGCTGAAACCTGCAATTGGCAGTTTAGTTTTCTCCTGCGACAACTGCACTGCCCGAGCTGACAATTGCTGAAATTGAATTGGAAAAACAGCTTAGCGACGCTCACTCCGACTCCGACTCCGACTGCAGAGCTGACTTTCCATTTGACCGCAGCTCGTTTGTTGTTTGTTTGGTTGTTGTTGCATTTGTTGCTGTTTTTTGTTTGCTGAATGTTTGCTTGGTTGTTTATTGTTGATTTGGTTCGTGCTGCGTGGCTTTGAACTCTTTTTTTTCGTTGTCTTGTTTTTGATTTTGTCATGAAATATTTCTCTGGCTTTTGTCGCTGACAAACGGCACATGCAGCTGCACTTTGTCGCTGTCTCTCGAACTGCATCTGTCCTTTCATTCCCCGCTTATTCATTTTCTTTCTTTCTATTGCAATGCAAATTCTCGTCACACCGGTTTGGGGATGCTGCATCGAAACCCCACGCTGCTACTGCCACTGCCACTGCCTTTTGCCTCTGCATAGTTCATTGATACCAGATATACGTCCCGGCCCGGCCCGGTTCGGTTCGTCTCAGTTCATTAGCCAAAGCAGACGCCACCAAAGTTGGCCAACTAACGGAAATGTTAATTGTCAAATGAAATGATAGAAACGAACCCCCCCCCACTGAGCCGAACCGGTTGAGGCTTACAAAATAAGACATCATAAATTGTCGGGAAAAACATTCCAGATTTCCATTGTACGTGTATGTCTCGTCTCCCC